AAGTATTATTGCTAATTAATAATAAACTATCATCATTGTTATTAAAAAAAAAAATTACATAGGTATTAATAAATTAAAATCCCCAGAAAAAAATGTTAAGAAGTAAAATTATCTCTCTGAAATATAATCACATGAATCCCAAATGAGATTCTTAATTGAAATGAGAAAAAAATCCGGATGTGAGCCGGAAAATGACAATCACTCTGACGATTGAGTTCTGTGTCTGAAGTCGATAATGAAAAATGGGGCTAACTTATGGGGCGGTGTATTCAGTCTCTCACCTTTGGACTCTGATTATCTTGAAAGAGAAAAGACGAAAAAAAAATTCAAAAAATGCTAAACAAGAAAAGAGAGAAAAATTTGTGTAAAAGAGAGAAAGAGAAGACGAGAAAAAAAAATAAATAGAGAGAATATGTCATACTCTCGAATTTTTATTGGTTGTTAGACGCGCTCGAGTGAAGGCAAATGCAATACACCACACACTGTCGGCTACATCTATAGATGCCTTTTGAATAGACCCTTTGAATTACCGAGGCCGCTTGTGTTTTCTATAGAATAATATACAGTATTAGTCAAAAATAATCCTACACCTTTTTGTCTGCGAAATGACTATTTCCATATCATTTCAACAGAAATAACCAACTTCAAACCGATTTAAATACACAAATGAAAAATACAATCCGGACACAGTGCTTCCCTCTACCGGATTTTCAATTAATATCTCCAAAGAGAAGCTTTTTAATTAAACAAATTAATGAGGTTCTATTCAAAATAGATTACAGCTGATGATTAATAAGACATTGAAGTAATTTTGGACAGGACTGTACACTTGTAGGTGTACATAATATATTCCCTGTATGAATAGATATATGTGATATTATATTCAGAGCATCGAGCTGTGAGTTGTCTCCGAAAGTTGCATTTGTGTCCACCAGAGTGAAAAGCGTTTTGTAAAAAAAGAAGTAACATCTCTTTGGTGGTAATTTTTAATTATGGCCAGGCGAATAGTAAAAGTGTATTAAAAGAGATGAAAATGAATAAGAAAATGAGTAGGCTAAAGCCTTATAATATTGCATACAATTTAATTAATGACCTCCTCGAAACAAATTTGCCTGCATTATTAGCACATTCATATGTTGGTAGGGGCCGCCCAGTAGCTAACATTACGTATATTATATATCTTTTACTACTATCCTCGTGTCCCTCCTCACAAAGCCACTATTGTAAGAGTCGCCTTCTTGATTCATAAAAGCCGTCTGTTCTTGTATGCAGCTTCAAATAATTCAATTCACCCAATACTTCCTCCTATAGTTAATATTCACAGCTCGTCTTTGCTCTGCACTTTAACACTATCTTTTCATCTAAATAAAGACTATACGTATTTTTGTACTCTATCAAATTATTTTTTTATTTCTGCTCCAGAATGCTGACTTTTTTTTCAAGTAATTAATCATCCAAAGTCTTTAGTGATAATGAAATATTAACTTCAAGACAGTGATTATCCAAAAGATTTTTTTTTATTAATACTCTAATATATTGGGAGCATGATTGGATGATAATTTAAATTTTTCAAAAAACCCATTATTTCACTTGTGATGGTAACAAAATATTATCCAACCCCCATTGGATAATTTTTTCTTTTTTTTTTTTTTTTGAATTTTTAAAAATTCCCAGCATCCGCATGAGGTCCAAAGATCTTGAAGAGTTAAACCGTCACTTGCGTAATTTCGCAGTTACGTACTAATTGCATTAGAAAACTATTGTGAGAGAGGATAAAAGAAGATGTTACTTCACCAAAATACATGCATATATGTATATATATCTGTCAGAACATAAGATGATGACGCATGTATGTCCTTAAACTCAAATAGTGTATATAAAAAAATAATAATAATAATATGGTGGCATAGACTTACTTGGTAAATTTTTCACCTGGTCAAACAAAGTCCACCGATGGTTTAGCGTTGTCATTGTGTTTGCATTATTATGTTAATCACAAAAAAAGGCGGTGACAATGCGTCAACCTTAATTTAGGAAGCGACTTGAAAGGAACATGTAGCTGAACAAATATTAACTAAGCAAATCATTAGTTTCTTCTTCTCCCTCGTCACCTCCCCCTCCTCCTCTCTTTTTTCTCTTCTTTTATTCTTTACTTCAGTGACACTTAACCTGCACACACGGAAATTATCCAAGATTAATATGTCATAGTTTTTTTTTTTTCAATGCCTGAAGTATTATGTAATCAATAATATTGTTGTTTACTCAGTGTTTTGAACAGATTCACAGCTGGTGATCGTAATTGGGTCGATAAAAAAATATTTCTTCAAGAGATACGTCTTTATTGAGATGTAGGCAATAACTTGATAGTGATTTTGAACCCATAATCAGGTTTTTATACTCATTTTTTGACATTTAATTGAATTTCGAAGATCTTTTTTATTTCCATAAAATGAGAGTTATTAAACTTGGCTTTTTGAGGCTAATAAAAAATATTTCCTCGATAGATAAATTTTTCGTAAGTATTGGATGTTATAGAGAAGACTTTGAAGAATATTTTGAGCCTGAAACCAGATTTTTATTGCAATTTTTCTTAAAGATATGAATTTTTAAAGATTGATTGATTTTTAACCAAAAAACTAGCATTTATTTCTCAAAATATTCTAATAAAAAAAATATTAATTCAAGGATTTAATTTTTTTTTGGATTAAAATATTTATTTTCCGTGATGCTGTGAGCAGAAGACATTGAGCAACAAGAGAAAAAAAAATAAATAAAAAAGGAGAAGGAACTGAAGATGCTGAATGTTGAACAGGCAACAATAAGTCATTGAGAATAATCAGCAAAGTAATGACCGGTATATTAATTAAAGAAAAAAAAATAATAGTAAGTGGTTGACAGTGCTCACACACGTGTTATCAATGAGTATACGATGCACTAACAACGTTACGATGAACAGTAGGTACACGTCAAGTGTTTCACGAGAGAAGAGACGAGTCATAAGGTGCTCAAGTTGGTGGTAGCAATCGACTGTTCATGTGTCCTGCAGACATTCTACTGGCCTTACTCAAGCTTTCTTTTAGGCTTTAGGTAGTAGTCGGTGTAACGCAATTACGATTGTTGTTTGAATGAACAATCAAGCACCCTACAGACGCGCCCCAATCATTCAATTTATGTTCAATCGACTTTTGCTCCCTTCTCCACGCTTCCCCTCTAATTCTTTCAACGTTCTTCAGGCTTTTCTCTCTACCACCCTACGCCGATATCGAATCGCGAAACAACCCCGGAAACTAATCGACGTAGTACTAGAATATTGTGTGTCGCATACTAACAAAGTATGATTTTACTTTGGAAAACTTGTTCTTATTTCCTGGCACTGACAGGCTGCTGTATTACGCCAGAAAGAAAGCTAATAACGTCGTCAACTTTACTTGGAAAGAAAACAATTGTGTAACTCACAAAACACCACAACTCTATATGTTACTCACATACAGAAGCATGATTAAACTTATTATGTTGTACAATTACAAGAAAAATTTTATTTCATTCAAACGAGAAAAAGAAAAAAATATTCAAACAATTTAACAAAGCATAGAGTTGATCAATTATTCAAACAATAAAAAAAAAAAGATTCAATAAATTTAAGCAGTATAGTTAGCTAATTATTCAAACAATAAAAAAGAAATCACTAGCATCATTGGAACGTATTTCATGTGGGTTTGTTGATTAATGTAAAAGAATGTCTCAGCGGGATAAATAATAGAAAAGAAAAAAAAAATAAGAAGGAGAAGTGATATGGTTGTTTTTGACTAATACTGTATTTGATTTAAGATAGAGATAGAACTAAAAGAGAAAGGCTTATTCTCCGTCTTACTCGGTGTATAGATGAGGAAGAGGAAAAGAGGCGCGCAATAAAGGGAGGGGCGTATTAGTAGCAAAGTGAACCGAGCAACGGGTGAATGGCCTCTCGCGTCCTTGCGAGCCACCTGACCATGCTGCCGCCACCACTCGGACTTTCCAGCATCCTGCCACAGAGAGGAGAGTAGACCAGACAACCTAACCAAGCTCCTGCCGTGATACTCTCCAACTCTCCAACTAACCGGCTCACCCACCTCAACTCCTACCTGACCGATTGGACCTCATCCTCCGTCGTCTCATTTATTTATTTAGCATCCGAAAAAATTCTTCTTTTATGCGTTGAGTATTAATACAAATGTAATCTCAAGTGTTTCATGCCATTGCCAGCCAGCCAATCTCTCTCTCTTTCTTTACTGCATTAGTGCTACTGAAGCTCCTCTTGCATCTCACTGTTACCTCAGGCTATCTTCAACCCGTGTTGCTTGCGTGAATACTAGCCGAGATCGAAGGAGATCTGCCTATTTATAGATCAGACCACCTGCAGCTTCCGACAGTTACAGCATCTCTTCTCTCTTTTTTTTATTCGCTTTTCTTTTTCCCGCTCTCGAGCAATGCCCTCGTATATTATTACACCTAAATTCATTGTAATCTAGGGTTTTACGGCCTTTAGGTTGGTTATTAATTTTTTTCTAATTGATTTGATGACATTCTCTTCATATAATTGGAGTAATATTTTTTTGAATGAAAAACAATCACCTATTTTTTATAATCTAGGGTTATTTATTATTTAAAATTGGTAATAAATTGTTTGGATAAGTTTATTAGGGTTATTTAAATTTTAAAAAAATTATTTCGGTAATAAATTTTATCGTACATTATCTAGGATTTTTTTTTATTTTTAAAGAAATATTATTTCACATCATGGCATAGAAGAAATGGTATATGGATTAATTTTTTATTTTAATCTAGGGATTTGTAGTTGTATAAAGTTGTCAGCAATGTTTTAAGTTTGTATTCTAGTGACTTTTTAGTGAAAACCTCAAGTTAAATTTTTTCTTAAATTTTTTCGAGTTTATTTCAATGTTTTAGTGAGTTTCCAAATTATTAATGACGACCGGAAGTGAACTATATACTAATCTAGTTAGAGGAAGAACTTCCCAATGACTACGGATATCCCGCGACGGTGGGTGGAACCAGCCCGGCCGTAAGGACAATTATTTGGCGAGAGATATCATCTCCGTAAGTAAACCACTACCAACAAACAAAAAATTAAAAATTCCCTAGCACAATAAACCAAAAAAAAAAAAATACCTAGTTAAATATTCGTTCAATATATCAGTGGATTTCATTTCGGATTAATCGAAAAGCAACAAATAAAAAGCTTACTGTTGAAAATAAAAATGATTAGAAGCGAATGATGATATGAAAAGGGAACAAAAAAAAGAACCGAAAAAAATAGGTAAAAAGACGCACAGCGTGAGACTAGAGTCGAAGGGAGTTCCGGTGGAGACGATAATCGAATGCACGGGGGAATCCGGTGTTTGCTGAGGTCGTAGAGAGGCAGAGGGGCGCGATATCTAATCGGCAAAAGACGTGGCTGAGAGTCTGAGAGGAGGTATAAAGTGAAAAGAGAGTATGAGTGTAGATCTCGTGGCCTGGACATGGGGCTCACCTGCTCGCACACACGCTAAAAGTCTAAAAGACAAGCTTAAAACTCAAGAAGGACTCTCACACGTCCGATTTTACCAAGCTCCAACACACATACTTGACTACAGGACATTCCAGTCGCTCGTTATACTCTCTATAGTACTCTGTGATGTGTACGTTTATCGGTTTATATATACCTTTACCAAGAGAGACAAGTTAGCAATGCTAGTATTGACCATACACTAACACGAGAATGTGTTGTTGTATAATGCAGCCATTGATAGCCGTCCTCTCTTTCACGCACGCGATCTGTTGCAGTCGTGGCAACTCGTGTCCGGTGACAGCGTCCAGTGTCCAGTCTCCCTCCTGGTGAGTGTCCACAAGATTTATTTTCCCATGCAATGTGTGCGCGGGTTGGCACCGTGAAAAGTCAAAGCCCCAGCCAACCTTGTCTCTTTCCCCATACTCATTCCTTCTCTACTTAACCAATTGCGATACACACGCTAACCGATCCAGAATAACTCACCATTATTGTAATAAATGTTGATTTGAGAATTATCAAATCTTCTTCTCCAGCACACTCTCATCAAATCCAATGATTCATGAATCTTCTGACTCGAATGCTCTATTTGGACATCAGAGTCATGTATGCTTAGGTAAATAGAAGCAGTATCGATGGTGATAGGTGTCGTAGCTTCAGATGATAAGCTATTGTTGTCCAGAGGGGAGATAACGTATTTACAGGCATCACCAGTGTTATTTTAAACTTTTTTTTTCCTGGGCTATTCATCATTCTTACGGCATTCGAAACCAGTGGTTGACATCGTTTTGAATGTCATCGTAAACTTGGTAGTAATCATTTATCGATATAAAAATTTATTTATTGTTTAAACAATGATTTAATTAATTTACTTAATTGTTAAATTTTAAATCATTTTTGGTGTTATTTTAGAATTTTTTTCTGGCGTTATAATTATTCAAAAGACTTTCAAAACCAGTGTTTGGAATCGCTAAAAGTACCATCTTTAACATGGTAGTATTATTTTATCGATAAAAAATTTTTTTCATTGTTTAAACAATGATTAAACAAAAAGCTTGAATAGTTTAAAAATTGACCGATTTCAGTATTAATTATTCATCACTTGAAATATGATAAAATAACTCAATGCATGTGTTTCATAGCAGAAACATTATCTGCATTCTTCTTTTCTTTGAAATACTCAACACGAATATGCACGCGTGAACTCACCATTAATCTTGAAGAGCAAACTAGAAAGTATAGTTTGTGAGAGAGAAAGAGAAATACGGGTTTTTCCATGCCGAGTTATACAGCATGAGTACAAAGGGGTCGTGGCTTTGTAACGAGAATCCTTTATCAAGAGGATGAGAATATAGGCGGCAACAGCGCAATAATAAAACTACGCGAGAGAATCTCTGGGTGTCATCCGCGTGAGCGTATAAACTTAGCAGACTTAACGTATGTTCTCTCGCTGGTGCATAGAATATACAGATACACACAGAAAGCACAGAGCATCAGAGAAGAGTACACAAGGGAAAAAAGACCAGGGAAAATAGAGAAAGGGAGGTGAAAATGTTGCTGAAGAAGAAACGTACGCTTTTGTCGGTGAACGCGCCATTATACGACATCCGGCCAGTGAGAGAGCAAAGAGATACAGATACATACACTAATCATCGTTAAAACGACGAGTATATACACGACTTTCGTCTTGTTTCGTACCTATACAGCCTTTCGAAATCTGTATTTCCGCATGAAAAAATTTCGACTCGTTATTTTGTCGCTATATTTAATACACCTACACTACATCAATTTTATTAATTATTTGTTGGGGAATACAAAAGTCCAATAAACATCATCAGTTTTTTTTTATATACTTGTGATAGTATCAATTATCAACAGATTATTTCCTTTTTCTAAATTTTAAAAAGCATATAAGAGATTATTTAAATATTACTACACTGTGAATTTTCAGATTATTACCAAATTTCTTTTGATGTAATTATTTTTTATGTGTTTAAATTTTTAATGTTATATATTCAATCTTTCTTTTTTTTTTATTCATTATTTTATTTTTTTGATAATTAAAAATTATCTTTAATTATTGTGAAAAAAAAATACAAAACAATTTTAAATAAAATAAATTCAGATATTTATCTTTAATACAATAACAAGCTTGCTTTGCTGAATTTATTTTTATATTTTCACCACAGTATTTAAAATTAATAGAAGAATAAAAATTAATTTATTGAGCTTCAAAGCTCATTTTTGAAAAAATAACTAGACATAATTTTCCACTAAATGATAAGCTTTTGAGTCGAAACATAGCAAAAAATATTGAGTCGAGAAGGAAAGGAAAAAAAACAGCTAAATAAGACGAACTGAAAAAAATGTAAATTTTGATGGTGCAGGGGTCGGTGGATTTAAAATGTATGTCTCTGCGTATAGGGCTGGTGATGCCCACGTCTACATTCTCTTTTGCATTAAAACGCGAACGTGCTCAAAGAGAAATAATGTCTCTCTGATTACTCGGCTGAGTGAAGCTGACTGCCCTCCACCACCCCTCGGTCCGATTTCCGGACCGACTCTTCGTGAGACCGTGGATTAAAATGATGTTTGCGTGAAAGCCAAATGCTTTACAAACTTTATCTTCTGAAGTGAGTCGTATTAGTCTTCCCTTTTATCTCTTATCTCCAGTGCCTGGCGTCTGTTTGTATTCCTAATTTCTCTCAAAGAACGACGGTGCACTGTCCCGTGTATTATTATCCGATCTTATCTTTTACTTTCTTTATTTATTTATACGTGAAAATAATCAGTTACTGTGACGAAAAAAATTTTATTACTTATCCTAATTACGTTTGTTTCATTATTATTCATTATTTAAATCAACAAATGCTTTTTACTATTTTTTTCACTACCTCGCATTGAATCATAACCAAAAAAAAAAACTTCACTCAATAAATTCAACAATAATTAAAATTAAATAAAATAAAATTATTGTAAATAAATATTGAGAATTTCGTGCTCCAAATAATTTAATGAGTTTTGCAATTAAAGTTTCACCGGGACTGTACTTGAATTCTTCTTAAAACCTACAGTCATTCAAATGGTTAAAATAAGACCTACTTAAGGCCTCATTTAATCCTATTTATGGTTTTATTGAACCTAATTGAAATAAACTATAATTCATTTTAAAAAAGACTGTCATCAATAATTCTCTTTTTATTCGATAAAAACAACACAAAAGGCTTTCCCGAATTGTAATGCAATATTTGGTACTATTTTTTTTACACCTTTAAACTCCATCATTAAAATTCATTTTGTTATCAAACCAACCCAACTAAAAGTGATTTCCCTCCTCAAAGATAACAACAATCGATCAACATAAGTAGAGAAAAAAAATCATCATGGAATGGTCTGACTAATTTAGGGGAGAAACTAATTAAAAGGCGGAAGGTCTTTTTAAAAAAGTTATGTTGCTTTGACCGATTTGCAAACAGGACTGGTGTGTGGTGAATGCGGGAGAATCGACGAGGGTGGGCTGAAGGGTGACAAGGGAGAGAGAGAGAGACGGAGTAGGATAGAAATAAAAATGAAGGGGGGGAAGACTGCTGTTTGGGTCCAAAAGGGACATGAAACAGAGAGATTTTGTTCTCTGGGGAGCAGTCAAAGCGCGTGGCCCTTACCATGACGATCTGAGCATCAAACGAGTCTATGCTTATGTTGCTGCTGGGATGCTCTCTGGCATGTAGACGATAGTGGGGAGAACATAGGGAAGGTAAGAAGGGAGAAACGTGTACATTCGACGCCACTCGATCGTATCTATATCTCTTCCTACTTACGATGCGCCACGACAACCTAATGTATAATCATACACGTCGACTTGATATATATCTAGATAGAATATACGAGAAGTAGACACTTTGTATCAACTAAATCAAGTGGAGATGGTGGGGAGCGAGAGACTTATTTATTTATTTATTCATTTTAAATTGTTATTAATTAAGACTGTTATGGGAGACGAGTAAATGTGATTTATCTTAATTATTGTGGCTTTTAAGTGGACAGAAGTAAATGATGACGAGATTGGTGTTTGTATTCATCATTTGTTGGAGAGAGTTTTCTGATTAATTTCAAATGATCTTTAAATTTCTAAATTCATTTTTTATAACGGACTTTTTTATTATTATTTATTTTTCATTTTCATTACAATATTTTTGAGGTTAAATGAAATTATCATTAGATGTTTGACAATCATTTCCATTAGTGTATTAAGCCTTTTGAAATTTTTTAAACCCATTTTGTGGATAAATAATGAACTCTATAGGGAATGGTGGGGTAAGATAGGGACTTGGAATTTTTCATAAATATGAGTTGTATCCCAAGTATAAATAATGTGAATTAATTAATACTAACAACATTCAATTTATATTGACACAATTAGACTAATATTCACAATATTTTATTTTTTGCAGTTAATATAAAAGTTCAAAATTAGATAAAACTTCATGAAAAAAAAAACTTAGAACATTTGCAGTGACATCGTATCATCAGTTTTAGTACAATCACTGTCTTA